ACACGTGCGTTTGTGGGACAACACGTGTGTTTGTAAGACGCGCGCGTATTCCTAGCGTTGTTCTGATTAGTCAGTTGTTAAGTTTGATTGACACTCCGGAAAGGTCTATTCAGAGGTTGTAGATCGCATCCACTGGAATACTATCGCTTTTATGTATACTTTATACAGTCAATAAAGTGCGCCCTCTCTAATGAGATTAGTTTTTGTACTTCGCATCTCGCACAATGCGGTCGTTCGATTAGGCTGAGATATGTTTGTTTAAGTGTCAAAATCTCAGTCAGAATCAGTTTTTTAACAAATTTGAAATAATTCTTATGAAATATTATATTTCACAAGTGTCAATACTAGCAACGGAAAATATCATGTCGGCCGTTTTTATGTGTGATAACAGAACCTAAATCGAGGTATGGCTAGGCCTAGCCTAGCAGCGTTGGATAGGCTAATGTTTTCGGCGCCTACGATATTTCTTCTCACGGTCTATCGCAAAATCAAACATGAAAAATTCATCCGCATTTATTTTTTGTGTGGAACACAAAAAAATCAAATTTCAGTCTTATTTTACATTTTTTCATTCTTAGGAATGTCTAAATTCAGTTAAACTAGCAATTCCGTATTATATTTATAAATCTTTATAACATTATACAAAAATTAGATTTTAAAAAAAAACTGAAATTTTGCCGGGAATGGGGCTTTAAGAGAGGAAATACTGCATCATTTGATGGAACTTACCAACAGAAAAAAGCACTGTCACCATTTTAGTGTTTTGACGTTGTCTTGTCCGTACCGACTGTAATGAGGCACGTTGCTCAGGTAGCAAGTGATATTTCATAGCTTCTATCAACAGGTCCTTACACTCAGGACTCGTGTGGACTATTTCATCTTTTTCCACATTTAAGACTAAGAAGTCCCTGGTTAGCAATGGAAGGCGGACATGTCTCAAAAGCTGAAAACAATAGCGGGGGAAGTAAGATACTAGTATAGCAACAAACATTGCTACTTAATTACTATTCTTTGTACCACAGAATAATTTCTGTCAAACTATTTTGTGGACAAAATTAATTCTGTATTAACAGTATTGTTAGATAATGGTTGGCCATCTCTGATAAAATCGGTGTATAGAAAATATACTTTTACGGGCCTTCTCAACTTCACAGCGTCCTCTTACAAAATGGCATTATCTGCACATTGATCGATAGGGTTTACAAGTTAAATAACTCTTGGCTAGGTTTTCATAAAGATATTGAAATTCTTAAAACAATTTTATGTAAGAGTGGCTTCACTAATAATATTATAGATGATAAATTTTATCAATATTTAAGTGATGTTCTCTCGTATTGTCCCGAGACCCTCAAGACTAAAGACAAAGATAATGTTAATGTTTGTTATTTCAAATTGCCACAAAACAGTTTACAAGTAATGCGCAAAGCAGCTGAATTAACAAAATCATTAGTAAATATTGTCATGGAATTGCTATAAAGCTGCTTTTAAATCGTTTTAAATTTCTAATTTTCTAGGGATGAAGGACCCCGTTCCTGAGGTGTTCTGTGCTTGTGTAGTATTTAAATTCACCTGTGTGGGATATACTTCCATTTATATTGGAGAAAACAATAGAAGACTCTCAACAAGGAAGCACTTCAGGGACAGGGCCTCTCATATTTTTCAACATTTACAGGTTTCGGAAAGTTGTCGGGACCTAGAATGAGGGATGTTTCACAGTTCTGGCAGATTCAGCTTATATACCTAAATTTTCTAGGAAGCTCTGCATATTTAACTTGCAATGATCCATCTTTAAACAAGCAAACTTTAAACATCACACTTGCTGTCTGATTGTTGCAATCTTAATTACCATACAGTAACAATTATGCAGTGACATGTGGTGTTTGCATTGAAGGTTTTGCTTTATCAGTCACTGTTGTTTTATGCCAATTTACATACACATGTTCTAATTTTTATAGACCTTGGCAAATTGTAGTATGCTCGCACTGATGATGGGAAAATTATCCCTGAAACATGTCTGCTACTGTTACACGATCGCGCTCACTATTGAGCCCGCGATCAATTATACGATTAAAGACGGTTTTTATTAAATGCGTTGTAGTGTTTTTACTTATTCAAAATTTTGGTGGCATTATTCATGACCTATCTAATAATTATATACCACAAAATTATTACTATTTAACCGTCACACTATGCTGTAGTACAGAATAAATTCTGTACTGCATAATTTTGTTTCTGTCACCACAGAATTATTTCTGTTCTCACAGAAATAACTCTGTCCATCAGAGCAGAAATAATTCTGTCCACAGAATTATTCATGTTCCCACAGAATTAATTCTGTCCACTGAGAATTTATTCTGTAAAGCTTATTCAATTAAAAAAAATATGGTTTCTATCAAACATGCAATAGAATCATATATATATATATATATATATATATATATAATTTTTCATTCCTGATGATGACATAATTAATGTTGAAACATTGAATCCCGACACGATGGCGTGTATTTCGATACTTGGAGTATGTATTATACTATCTTATCAGTAGTGCCTGTTAATTATTTTGATTTGTAGTTCATAGTATTGTATCGCAGCAGTGTGGTATCTAACACAATGAATGCTATACATACCACACGACGAAGAAAGTACAGCAACGACGAAGACAACGACCAGCGTGGAAAGAAAGCTTGGGCAACAACGCGAAGAATCATGCTGCGTGGTCGCGAGCTTCTTTTTGTCCAGTGCACTCTGACCCGGCGTTGTTTACAAATCTGAAGGGTCAACTTGTGACCTGGGCCTTGTTACGAGTGATTAATTATGCCTTGAGGCAAGGTGTAATTGAAATATCCAGTAAAAAAGGTGGGTTTTTTGGCCAGATGTTTTTCGAATTTTCTATACCCAGGGGCATTATTTAATTGCCGCACGCGACCGCTCAGCTGGTGGTACCCAGTTAAATTTTACTCGTCCGAATCGGCCCAAAGAGTCCTTAAGGAAGAAATTTTTCATTTTTTCTGCTGTGGCATATTTGATTGATAGTATTGTAATGATATATAACAGTAACCATAAATTCCTTTCCTTTCATCAAACCATTTATACCTCCAAGATCAACCACAATCTACTTCCATGCAGAACGAATACTGCCTTTGTGGTATGTATAGCATTCATTGTGTTAGATACCACACTGCTGCGATACAATACTATGAACTACAAATCAAAATAATTAACAGGCACTACTGATAAGATAGTATAATACATACTCCAAGTATCGAAATGCACGCCATCGTGTCGGGATTCAATGTTTCAACATTAATTATGTCATCATCAGGAATGAAAAATTATCCATATTTGCAAGCTTATATGCACAAGTACTAAAAGCTCCTATATTCCTTAGAGGTTTGATCTTTAGTAGTAGATATAAAATGAGACATTTTTGTACTGCCATAATGTAATGAATTTTACCTCTTTAACTAAGTGTTTCTTTACTTTGTTTAAGCATCTAAAATGGATTCACCTGCCTTTCCTAGATAAGGCAATCTAACCCAAATCTGAATCAAGCCATTATCAGTAGCCCTATGTAAAAATTTAGGTTCATTTAATTTATTGAGTACATGGGTAACAACATAAATTTTCTAATGTTACAAAGTTCTGCTTGAATAGTAGGTTTATAATATGTACAGTGTGGTATCTAACAAACCTAATGTTATTCTTCCATAGTCATAGTATATTTAGTCAAAATGAAGCCCAACAAATTCTCATGACATTTTATCAACGATTTTCGGCAACCACAGAGACCTACTTAATGTGTGCGATATACCATAGAAAATTAAACCTAAAAACATTGTCTTTGATGTATTTACTTTACCTACTACAAAGCTGTGAGGTGTACATAATTATAATGTATATATACACAGCTGCAGTATCTACTGTAAGAACTAACCTAATGTTATACAGTACAGTATTTGTTTCCACATGAAAGTTCTATTGTGTTTGTAAACGAAAGGAAAGGATATACATAGTCCTAAAGCCCCTTTCAGACAGAAAATATCGCAAATATACCGTAGCCACGCCAGCGCTATTGCCGGTGTAGACCCTTTCACACAATTAGTAAAAATCCGGTATTAATACCATATCCTGTCTGAAAGGGGTCCCGCGCGAAAGGAGTATTTTGCATCTGTGAACAAAGAGGGCGCAATATTATATTTGCAACCCTGATCTAAAAACAACTCTTTGCACGTTCAAAAAAAATATTTTTTGCACTTTGACATGGTACATGGTATTAATACCGTATTGCAACTCTGTGTGAAAGGGGCTCTAGACAAGTTGATGCCTGGCTACCAGGAAATGTTTACTGTAATTAAGAATATATATGAGCATGTAGTTTACTGTTCAACCATTTTAAAACATTATTTTTTAATTTCCCTTTAAATAAAGAAATGAGTCCCAAGTCTCCTGTAGAGTCCCGGGAGGGAGTCTCCTGGAAAAAGGCAGGAAGGATTCCCTCATTCTAACCAGCAGGCAAGCAAGCAGGAACGAAAAAAAAAACTAGTTTCTCGTCTCCTCGCGCATCTATTTTCTCTGCCTCACCATGTTTTTTTTAATTTCTTTTTTTTATTTTCTTTATTTTACAAAATGTATGAAATACTGGCTAACTCACATCAGTAAAATTCCTCTCTTAATCGTTTGTGGTTGGGGATACATAGTATGAATCATGTCTAGTGCTTTTTTTATTCAATGTGTCTACTTGGTAAAAGTTAGAAAAATAGTAGATATTGCCACCTCTGAGTAAAAAAAAAGGAAAAAAGTGCCCTCATCTCCTTTTTTCAAAATATTAGGACAAGAAACTACTTTTTTTTTTAACTTGGTCTAAACAGATCATGTGGATTGGGACCCCTGTAGAGTGCCGTCTTTAATTATATTAGATGCCTAAAGACCATAGTTTTGGCAGACAAAACTGAAAATTTCTACTACTTTAAAATGTATAGTGGTTTTAATCTTTTTACAGGCTACAGACATCAAAATAATAATCAATAGCCGATGATCTGTGTACAGTGCTCCATATTGAATGCCAATAGCTTTAATAGGGCATTGAAAATTGTATTTTTCTAATTAAATTGATCGCGAAACTACTTCGTGTGTGATATGCAGTAATCCATTCGAAAATACTTGGATGAAAAACCAAAATGTATAATACCATGGTTTAGGCAGACCCAATAGAAAATGTTTCCTTCATTCAATAAATACATTAAAATATAGGCCTATAGCAATTTTAATGCATTTACAAAAAATATATGACGATGATAGATATACATCAAGATAATACAAAACATAAGATGATATTTTGTGTATCAATGCTCTATATTGAATTAGGACGGTGTTGTAAGTATTATATTGTAATGGTGATTTGGGTAGAACGAGCACAGGAATTGATGTGTGACTTGACCACCGGGAAATAGTTTAAGCATTAATAACAGCATACAGTAACTGTAGGCCCTACATCCATTCCAATAACCTTACATTTACTATATCATTTCGCTATTTATTATACGCTGCGCAACTTTCCTATAACGTTCCAGTTTTTTTACATTTTAGATTAGTTAAGTTTCCAAAAATACAGATCAGGCTATATGTCAGCACACTTTGAATTACCTCGGATTGATAAAAAATTTTGAGAATATGGACATCAACATGCAGTTTCTGAAGTTTTCTTAAAAAATACATTCTTTGGTTGGACTTGGTGGATAACAACATTTTTGTTCCAGTTTAAGTTTTCGTCTATTATCGGGCTTAAATATTTGTATTCAGTAACTGATTAACATTTATGCCATTGATTGATATTGGTACATGAGCTGTCCTGGTTTTTACAGAAATAAAAAATGACCTCTTTGGTTTTACTTACATTAAGTTGTAAGTGTTGATTATTGCACCATTCTGCAAATCTAGTTA